CTATGTGGCTCTCCCCCCGGCACCTCCAGCCCCTGCCCGGTGCGGGGACACCATGGGCAGGGTGGCACTGTCACCAGAAGCCTCTGCGGGGCCCTTGGGTGCTGTGGGTGCACCCAGGACCTGCCGGGTGCCCCCTGCTCCACATCCTGCAGGGACCCAAAGTGCAGATTGTGCCCATCTTGGCCCAGGGGCAAAGGTGAGGTGCCTGCTTAGGTCTCAGTGCAAGGGGCTGAGTTTGCAGGGGCTGATTTGGGTGTCCCCAGCTATAGGGAGGACCCTGCTAGAAGAGGGAGGTTAGGTGCAGCCAGGAGATAGCCAAGGAGCATGCTGGCATCAGGGAGATGGGGCAGAGAGGTAGTTGTGGGGTTTCAGGGCTGAAATAACTCCTGTTCCTGCTGCAATGGGCTCCCCATATGTCCTCCCCACCCATCCCACTCATCTTCAGCAGCTCTCTCTTGAAAGTCCTTGCACAGCAGTCATACACTCCCAATGCAATGATGTCCCCTTTGCTCCTGGGTACCACCAGCACGTATGTCCCCACTCACAGGAGCATCCTCAGGTGGTCCCCAGGCTCTGCCTGTTCCCTAAGCCATTAAGGCACAGGCAGGGACTGACCATGGGTAACTCAATCCCGGAATCTTAAATGTGACCATCTGCGGTGTCCCCACTGCCCGAGCAGATGGGCTTGTTTTGGGCCTGTAAGGGAAATGAGTGCTTTGGTGGATGTACTTGCCTGCGTGTAATAGTCCTCAGGGATTTCCCAGCCCGGTTGTAAATGTATCCTCCAGGTTGGGGCCAAGAGGAGGTGGGGAAAGGGGTCCTTTACGCCCCTTGGTGCTGCTGGAAAACAGGCTTTGGTGAGCATTGGAAGTACTAATAACTCCCAGGCTGATTCCTCACCCCTCCCTGGCTCCCTGCCCTCATTAGGGGGACTTCATCAGCATGGGCCAATTAAGATAAAATGGGGTTCAGAGCTATTTAATTGTGAGCTGCTGCATCCTCCAGGACACCATGGTCTTCCTGCCCCAGCTTGCCCTTTCTCTCCATGTGTCCTCTGGTGCTTGCAAGGGTGAAATACCTAAATCTGGGCTTCTACTGGTTCAGTTTTTAGGAGTATCAGCCCAGGGGAGAGTTCCACTTTCGGGTGAATGAGTTGGATCAGGGTTTTGTACACCCAGCTGTCAGGAGCACCAGGAAAGGTAATTTTGGGTTCAAAACAGCCATGGAGAAGGGACCTGCTGCACAGAGCCAGACCAGGTCCTGGCATCCTTTATCCCCTCCTGCTGTGGGAATGGAGGAGATAGAAGGGTCCTCAGCGTCAGGCCTTGCTTTTCCAGTGAAAATTGCCAGCAATCCCACCCCATCCCAGTGGCACTCTCTGCTGAAAGGAATTTGTTCCCAGCCCTGCACAGGAGCAGGGAAACAGTGGGTCCTTGCCCACCAAGCCAGAGATCTCCAGTGTTGCATGGAAGATTTTAGCGTGTCAGAAGCTGCACACACGTGCTGTTACACACGTGCTCTCCCAGCACCCAGCAGCTCCGGAGCCTCCCAGCTCCCTGGATGAAGCCGTGGAGCTGCTGTTTCATCATCTGCACTTTTAATGCTCCTTTTTTTTTTTCCTTTAACAATTCTGACCAATTTTGCAGTTTCTTTCTCCAAATCCAAACCTGCAGCCCTGCTCCTCTCCTGAGGATGCTCTATGGCCCTGGGCGAGCTGGTCCAGGGATGATCCCTCGTCCCCCATCGGTGGGACCAGGGTGGATGCACCCACCTCCCAGCCCACCCTCAGCATCTCCCATTTCTGTTTCAGGGCAACGACCAGGTTCGGTTTGAGCTCACCTGCTACGCTCTATGTCCTAAGATCAAGGTAAGGCCCCCAAAATTGTCCCCTGGGGCCCCGTTGCTGGGCTTCTATCCCCCTCCCCAGCCGATGGGGAATTTTAACACCGATGCAAGCGGCTGTGCTTCACTTTAACAAGCTGCCAGCTGCATGGAGCCACGTTTTGGCATTTGAGGGGGCTGTAATGATCCTTAATTGACCTATTTTTACCCCAACCACTATGAGGCCATGGAGGAAACAGTTCCAAGGCAGCTGCCAGATAATCGATGCTGCCTGTTTCCCCCTTGCATCCAGTGCCTTGTTAGGGTCAGGGGTTTGGGTTACTGCACCCTTGAGCACAAAGATTAGGTTTCAGCTAGGGGACCAACAGCCTGTGGGACCTGGTTCCACCAGGGAGCCCTTTCCCATGGGGGAGCCGGAGGGGGGAAAAAGGGGGCCGAGGGGCTGACAAGGGGTACTGGGGGCTTTTCATCTCATCCTCATGCTTCCCACCAGATCATCGCACCATGGAGGATGCCTGAGTTTTACCAGCGCTTCCCTGGGCGCCGCGAACTAATGGACTATGCCAAGGTAGGAGCTGGCATCGGGATGGATGCAGGATGCTTGGGATGGCTGTGGGATGCTTGGGGCAGCTGTGGGATGCTCGGGGCGGCTTGTCAGCCCTGCAGAGCATCCCTGCAGCACCACGCTGGAGCTTCTGGTTGGGGTTTATTTCCCACACCCCCTCCCTCCCCATTCTTTTTCTCCTTCCTTTCTAAAAGCTCCATAATTACCTGGCTATTAATGGTAACCTGCTTTCCAAGGAAACGGGTCCCAGCTCCCTGACTTGTGTAACAGACAAAGCAAATCCATTCACCTTTGTTGTCCCTTCCTTTTTGAAGTACAAGTTGCAATAAAACATATTAGAAGTTTTGCATCGGGTTTTTACGTGCCCACCAGGGTACCTTTCTTCCTTAGCGACTTCATGGAAATGCTTGACAACTCAGCTCAATCAATCAAGAGGGAAAAGGCAGCTCTGTGCATAAACCAGAAAATTGCTTCAGTTTTTAAATAGCTGCCATCGAGGCTGCCTTGGTGAGCTCTGGGAAGGCGAGGTGTGGAGCCAGAGGGATGCAGTGCGGGGTGAGGAGCACTCCGAGCCCATTAGGGCCGCTGAGAGCAGCGTGTCGAGGATTGTGTTTGCCATCTGCTGTTGCATTATGAAGGGGCGAGTTTACGAGAGCTTTCCATATGTTGCCAAACAAATTGTCAAATAGAGGAGTTATTAAGAGCACCGCGGTTTTATTATATGGAAAATGGAACATGTGTTTTGGGTTTGGGGGTTTTGTTTAGGGGGTTTTCTTTTGGCTTTGTTTGGAAGCAAGGGAAAAAGGGAGATGAAATGGACTGGGGCCCTGCTCAAAGAGGAAAGGTTGGGGGTTGAGGGTCTGTAGTATCTGTCAGTCTCTGGTTATGTTCAGTGTTAATAAAAACAGGGGGGTTCCCTTCTTTTTCATGCTCAGGAGAGGGAGGTGAGTGGCCAGGTCCTTTCAGGACTCGGATGCGCTCACCTCCATGCTCAGGGAGTTGTAAACACGATGACATCTGGGGCTCTGCTGGTGCCAGGAAAAGCAGGGATCCATGTCATTGTGGCCCAGCTCTTGCTGTAGATTTGCTGCCCAGGGGCTGGACCCAGCCTTGCTCCAGCATCCCCTTCCTCCCCACAGCCAGCCGAGGGCAAAACACCTTAATGAGAAAGGTGAAGCTCTCCTGGATGCTGCTTCAGGATGAGCCATCACAGCAGGCAGAGCCCAGTGGGACGGAGCAGGGCTGTTATTCCCTCTGCAGCCTTAGGAGGCATCTCAGAATCTTGCTCGGATCTCAGGTGATGGGTTGATGACCACGATTTAACAACCACAAGTATTTCCTCCTGGCAAACAAGGAGTGTGCTCAGCCCGTGCTCCTCTGTTCCTGGCAGAACCCTTGACTGACATCCGTGCTGTGGTGTCACTGCGTGTCCGAGCTTCCTGGGGATGTATGGGCTATACAGGCACCCTGAGGCACAGCGGGAGCCCGGAGCTGCTGCCTCCATTCCTGGCTGGCTGTGGCAGAGTGGGCGACATTCCCGCTGGCTCCGGTTGTTCGCTCGCCACCATCCCCTCTCCCGCTAATTCCCCGGTGTATTCCCCTCGTCTTCACAGGCAATTTCCCCCATTGAAATGTCAGTGGATAATGGAGCGCGCTGTGACCTTGTTAGGGAGCTGGGCTCGGCGCTGCGCCGGGAGGCAGCCAAGCAGGGCCGTGTGTCCGTGGGCACCGTGGGCTCCCGGGAATGCTGTTGCCTGCCTGCTGTGTGTCTGCATCACCTTGTGTCTGCACGAGGTTGTGGGGATGCGTGTGCTGTCCTCTGTCCCCACAGCATCACTCCTGTGTAGGCTGCAGGGCACTCGGTGGTTCTAGGGACTTCTGTCCCCATGTTGCTTCCTCTTCCTGAGGACTCCAGCTGAGGGTTGCGCCATAGTGGACCTGGACTTAGAAGAAGCACACAGCATCCATGCTGACATCTCCATTGCTGGGGCTTCTGGGGTGCTTTGGGGCTCCTTCTCAGTTTATGGTGAACTCTCCTCCTAGCCACACCATGTCCCTGATATCCCCATCAAGGTGACCCTTGATAAGGGAACTGATGTTGCCTAGGATCAGGACATGGATGTCCACCTTGCTGGTGGCCATGGGTTATGCATTTGTGCTTTTGTGCTGATCGCAGCATGAGCTGGTATTGGTGGGGGTTTGTTTCCCCTATGGGCTGTCCCAGCCTCTCTCTGCTCCTCTTCTCTCTGCAGAAACATGGGATCCCGGTGCCCGTGACGCCCCAGACACCCTGGAGCATGGATGAAAACCTCATGCACATCAGGTGAGAGGCCAGGAGGGGGGGGAGCTCCTGTGGGGTGAGGACCCAGATCCTGGGGCCCTCATTTCCCCCTGTGCTGCATGGCCAGAACAGCCCTTTGCACCCGCACAGCTGCCCTATCGCATGCTGGCCAAGAGAGACCCCAAAACCTCCAACCTCCCTTTCTGCCCCATTGACCACGTCCCACATGGCAGCATCCATCTCCTGGGCTCTCCCAAGCCCAGTGCTCTTTGCAGGGTTGCTGCTAAAAGCCCCTGGAGATCCATCACATGTATTTACACCCATCCTCATGGAGTGGTTGGGATTGGGGGGGATCATCCCAGTGGGTTTTGGAGTTGCAGATGCTGCAGTGACTTCTCTCTCCTTCCCTGCCTGCTGCAGCTACGAAGCCGGGATCCTGGAGAACCCCAAGGTAATGGATCGCAGCCATAGGGCCGGGGTGTCTCGTGTGTTTGCAGCCTAATTGGGAATTTCACGGCGCCGTGCATGGGGGGGAGGCCCTGCTGCCTCTCCCAGCACGTTAATTGCCGCCGGCGTGAAGAGGGGAAGGGACCGTTTCAGGGTGACACTGGAGGGGACAATGTCACGGGGGCAGCAATAAAGGAGCAATTAGACAGATGAGGCGCTGGTGGGAAAGCTGGTGGCGGAGGTCCGGGCTGGCCCCTGCAGCTCGGGTCCCCTGCCCGTGCCTGCAGATACCTCCTTGCTTTCTCCAAAGGGATCCTTGCAATATCCAAAGGGATGTGGGGTAAATCCTCTTGCATGAGGTGATGCTTGAGACCCATGGGACCACCTAGGCAGCTTTGGCTGCGAATGGGGCTAGGAGCCTGGTGGCAATGGGTGGCTGTGAGCGTGGCACATCAATCCAGGGTGATCGTAAAGGTCTTTTCCGTAGTTGATTCTATGTGCGGGTCCAGCACCGGCTGCCTCCAGCAGTGCTCGTGGTCTGGCTGCCTGCTGGCCCCTGCCTGCTCGGTTCATGCTCCAGCGGGTCACGATGCTCCTGAAACTATCCATCAGTGCTAATTAGACAATCGGGGAGAGGAGGGGGAGAGGAATGGGAGCTGGCTGGAGCTCAGCGCCCGCAGCCCGCTCACTGCAGTGGGGCTGGCGCGTGCCTCCGGCAGGGATGTGAGGAAGAGGAAGGTGGAAAAGAGGCCCTGCTCCCCCTTTGGTGCCCTGTGCAGGGTGTCTGTGGGTCAGGCTTTGCAAGGGTGGGTCCTCAGGGGGGATCTTTCTCCAGGAGAGTGGTTGGCACAGGGATAGGTTTTCATGCCTGTAGCTGGAGCTAGTGAAGGACTGACCATGCCCTTCCTTGTGCACCCATCCTACCCCCTTCACATCCAGCACCTCTTGGGGAAGACCCCCAATCCAAGGCTTTGCCAAGCCTGCTTCCTTCCCAAAGCCAGCTTGGAAAACAGGGCAAACCAGTGCCCTGACCCCCTTGGAGCATCCTCTGCTTGGGTACCTCTCCCTCTGCCAGCACCAGAGGTGGCTTCCTGGATCACGGTGTTACCACCATCCCCTTCCCCATCCCAGGAAGCGGCACTGGGCACCATGGCAGCCACCAGCCACGGCAGGATCCAGGGTGCCAGGCACGGCGGGGTCCCCTCCCCAACCCCCCGGGACCTGCCAAACGCAGGGATTTGAAAGCAGATGGTTGAGCTATTTTCTGCCTCTGTGAGGCCCGATTGAAGGGCAATGAGGCAGCTAATGCGGAGAAAGATAGAAATTTACTTGCTTTAACTTCATATGGCACTCTGAAAGAGTTCATTCAGGCCCGGGCACAACAATATCAGCCGGATGAATAAACCATTTGCGGCATCGATAGCTCTGCATCATGGTTTACTTCATGGACCATTTGCTTCCAATTTCTTCTCTTCTTGCCCCGTTTTTCTTGCTTCTTTCTTCCCCCTCCCTTTCTCCCTTTCCACACACTCTTCCTTTTTTTTTTTCCTCCTCCCCCCCTTTTTTTTCCCCCTTTTTTTTTCCCCCCTTCTCTCCCCTTTAAAGATGACATTGCAGGACTAGCCCCCCTGTGGGGAAGGATAAATAGAAGGCATTGATACACTGCAACAAACTATTTGTCATTTGAACTGTGCTTTTAGGAGGGAGAATAAAAAGAGGACAGACTCGCACCCGTAATGATGGAATGCAAGCCAAATGTCACTTTTATTTCTATTTAGTTATTTTATTTAATAGGGGTTTTCATAGTTGGCTCGGAAAATTGGAAACCACCTGACTTTGACTGCCAATGTTTAGTAAAGAGTTTTTAATACTTTCCGGTATTCCCCTCCCTGTCTTTCCTTTTGAACTCAAAGTTTTTCATCATCTCTCGCAGGTTTCTCTGGTTAATAAGTGTGATCAGGGCTAGGAAAGGCCACACGATGTAAAATTGAAATCCTCAGCCCGTGTAATCTGTGCGCGGGGGGCACCAGGGAGGTGCCTCATGGGTAAAACAAGGGAAAAGGGGCAAAAATGAGATAAAATGGGCACCTCAAAGTGGTTTTGATGGGGATTTATGTCTGTATTCCCGGGATTTGGCAGCGGTTGCTGCTGGGATGTGTCCTGGGGTGTGGGGTGAGGGAAGGGGGTCCCTGGTGTGCAGGGGGTGCCAAGGATTGGGCTTTGCTATTTATTGGGGGAGAAAAAGAGGGAGCTTTCACTGAAAAGCTTATTGCCCATCCTCAAAAATTTCAGATGGAAACAACTTCTGCAGAGGAATTTATTTTCCCTTTAAAAAAGCTTAATATTCTTTAAGAGCAATCACTGCTGCTTTTTTACTTTTATTCTAACTGGCTTTCTACCCGATCCTTTTTTCCTCACTGGAAAGGGGAAGAGAAGAGAGGAAAAGTGAACAGGAGAAAAGCTGCACTTTATAAAGGAGAGGAGAAATAGAGGTGTCCCAGGTGCAGGCAGGGCTCTGCTGCCCAGGGATGCTCAGAGCCTTAGCTCCAACCAGCCAGGTTTTAGGGGGAAAATACCAGTTTACCACCACTAAACCATTTGCAAGAGTAGCTTATTTGCAAGAGCAGCTTGGTTTGGAGAACCTCCACCTTGAGGTACTTGTGCAGGGGGGTTTAGGTCACTGGAGGCTCCTTTGAATGTTCCAGTGTTGGCCAAGCACAGCCTCTCTCTGTGGTTCGCTTGCTCACTGTTTCCTGCCTTCCCACTGCATTGGATGCTCCGTGCCTCAGTTTCCCCTTCACCTCCCATAGCTGTAGCTGGGGGAGGTGGATGTCTTTAGAGACAGGGCTTTGCAAATACTGGTCCTAAAGTGTTTTGGGGTCAGATGAAATTGCAAAGCATTTGCTCTCCGGGATGGAAAGCTTTTTCTTTTAATTATATTTCCCCCCCTTCTCTTCTGGCACGTGCTTCAATTGCAGCAATTCATCATCAGCACCCGAGCCTCCGGTGGCCTGGCTCCGACGGAGATAAGATGCCACTTTCCTACAGTGGGGGGGGGGGGAAACCCCAATATACATAAAGGTTGATGTGCTCTGAAATGGGTTTTTGCTTCATTCCTCTATTTTCCCCCGTGTGTATTAACCCCGGGGACACCATGAAAGAGCCGGTGTGCCTGGAGCACCTGCTGGGGTCAGGCCTCCTCATTAGTTTCTTCGGTCAGTGCGGAATAAGCCGGTCCCCGACGCAGGGACGTGCGGGCGCCCGCCCTGCCGCTTTCAT